ATTGATAGACCTTTGCAAAGGAATAGCCAGATCTGACTCAAGTTTAATTTTACTTTTACGTGTCGATTGAACTTCTGTAGCTCCAAACTTGTCCATCGCAACTCCTCTGAAGTGTTTGTAGGTCAGTGCTCACAAATAAGTATTGATCAGTAATCTGCTAGTAGGTAACTTTACGGAAAGTATTACTTGTGTGAGAAAATTCCAGGGAGAGAAGAGTCTATGTTGGTGCTGCCTGTAGGGTGCCTGGCATACCAAGATGTGGATTTATAGCCCACCTCGGAATGATTGTTTATATTCCTTCTCCTACAGCTGTATAAATCATTTTGAGTGAGTGGAGTTTGTAATAAAGTCAAAGGCCTGCTTTGAAGCTGCCTCTGTGTAAAGATCAAGATTTTCCATTAACCCTGAGACTGTTCAAGCTTTCCATGTAGTTACAGCTTGTGGGGTTCTGTTACAAGCAGTCCCAAAAGCTTTAAAAGATACGTGCACAGCAAATTCAGGTCTTGCTTGCAGGTTTTTTTTCTTAAGGTGTTTAAAATCTTGCTATATTAGGACAACAAGCGTTTCAAAATGCTGTTTCAGAATTACAGCACTGACTGGAAGCATAGTCCTTAGGTGCAGGTTTTAGAGACGTTTATTCACCTTGCTCTGTACTTTGAGGATTCCTCATGCAAATGGATGTGATGTCAGTATCTCTGCTAAGAAGAGTCTAATGCTTTGTGTTCTTGCAAAGGAACAAGTACTTTTGGGGAAAAGCAGCTTTTTGTCCTGTGTGCTAAGGCTTGGCCAGAAGTAAAATCCTTCTCTGAAGTGTCCTGTGAGGAATAGAAATAAATGTGTTCCTCAAGCCTCCTAGCATTTGAGCTGGCCTCGTGAACCAGTGCTCCAAGTTGGAGGAAAAAAAAAAAGATTGTTTTGAGACATCCAGAGATATGCAATGAAAGTGAGGTTGATGGAAGTAATTATTGTGCAATTTAAGTCTCCAAGGTGCAGCTATTGCTTATTGCTGTAATAGGACTCCAGAGGGCAAAGAGGGGAAGTAGTACTGAAACGTGACGTGATTACCTTGTTAAAGCTTGCTTTGCTGTCCCTGAAGAATAAGTCCTAGTTCTTTTCCGTTTCTCCCCCTCATAGCTCTTCACTTTCAAAATTCAAGGACTTGGAAAGTCGGTAGAATTGTTAGAATTCAGTAGAATTGCTTTCTATGAGAACTGCATATCTGGTGTCTGCATTGGAGGGGGTCTGCCTAATGAAGTCTTAAAACCAGCCATTATTGGTAGACCAAGAATTTGGTCCTACTTCATGACCAAATTTCTGCACAGAAAGCTACTTTTATCTTGTGCCTTAATAGGATGCCAAAGACAAATCACGTGGGTGAGGAATCCCGTGTCCATTTTCTCTTGTCATTTCTTCTGAGTGCTTGTTAGTGAGCAATGGCATAGCTCACTAGCAGGCTGAGGACTGTGTCAAAAGTAGTAGAATAAAGCCATTTGCTATAGCTCAGACAGGAAGAACCTGTGTATCTATTTGTGTCCCTTGTTAAAAGGAAGCTCCTTCTCCATTTTAATGTGGTTTCTGGTATGTTGGGCTTCATTGCTGGTAGTGAAATTTCTCCTAGTCTGACTCTGAATTCCCATCGTCAATCCTTCTTCTGTTACCTCAATAAACTGTTTGTTTCTTTGTAGGATGCAAAAGCTTGTGAAGCCATCTGCTGATAAAAAGTATGTGGATTTGACGGTATCATTTGCTCCAGAGACTGATGGAGATGAAGACTTGCCAGGGCCACCAGTGAGATACTACTTTGTTCAGGAAGACAATTGATGGTAGAGGTGCAAAAGTCACTCCAGGACCATTTGTTTTGAAAGGAGTGTGCTAATTTTCAGCTATTAAAGATGGTACTATATATTTCTTTTTGGTGAAGCCTTAATTAAAACAAATGGTGAAAGTCAGTTGCTTTGCACTGAAGACAAACTGGACTTGTTTCATCTCCTGTTACCTTCAAATCTGTTTACTCAAGGGAGGATTGGTCACTCCATGAGATGGAATGTCCAGTACAGTCCTTACCTTAAAGACAAGATTTGTTTTAAGTTGTGGGGAGCTGAAGAAAGCGAGAAGAACGGTGAACGTAACAAATTGTCCCCATGTGCAAATTAAGCACTGCTTAGAGAAGATTGCAAAAACTGGGGAAACTGCCATTTTATGATATTCCTGTCAAATCCATTTCACGTGTTATTTTCTTCTCAAATGAGAATTTCAATCTTGCCATCTACACGAGGGATAATCCATCCAAAATGTTTAGACTTCCACTTAAAAACAGATGAGCTGCTCTGTTGTGTTGTTGGTGCTCTCTTCTGAACTGTACGTGATGCTGTGTGTCAGAGCAGCTGTCTTAATGTCAGTCTCCACATGGAAACAGAGGGAGGCAGGTCTTGAACAGGTATAAAAATTGTCATAGCTCCCCTGAAGTCAAGACACCTGGAATTGTTCATTATCTGCACTAAGACTGTTCTCTGGGGAATACTGCAATATGGGGAAAGTGGAACCCTATCGGAGAGCTGAGTTAACACTTTCAACAATAAAACTTTGCCTTCAAGAAAGAGAAAATGGTCAGTGTGGTTGAGCCTTTCTGCCCTTACCAAATTGAGAGTGCTGTAGCAAGAGATGACTTTGAAAGGAGGTAAAGGCAAATGGCTACAGATGTTTGTCACAGCAAGCACTGTTTCCTCAGCTGCTCCTTCTGGTACCATTTCCTCACAGTGGATGGTTATGCTGTACATCTGTCCACAGCATGGGTCTGAGTTGCACTGAGGTTTTTCAGTTACTGGGGTATCTAAGTATAAAGAATCTGCTTATTGGAAATAATGAGCGACTTGCTTTGCTCTGTGTTGAGGCAGAGGTGGAAGCATCTGTAACAACACCTTATCTTCTCTGTCATTTAAACCATGGGTAGTGTAGCTCATAGTCCATGTAGCTGAGGGAGGGTGGGTTGGTTTTTTTGGTATTCCCCAGTGATGCTAGTGAAGTGGGGTTTAAAAAAAAAAAAGCTACAAACTGGAAAACCTTTTAATGTTTTTAAGCTTTAGAGACAGTGAATGCCCATCTCTAAATCCTGTGGTTGTTGCAAAAGGTATTGACTACTTCACTGTTTATCCTTGATTATCCTTTGTTAAGATTTAGGAATATCTTCATGTTTAATGAACATCATTGGTTAGGAATTTTACCCTTTTCTCCCCCCCTTCTCAGATAGTTGTAGTCAGGAACAATAGCTATTAGGCTGGGCACTTAAACACCAAGATGTATGGAACTGAATAGCTGGAATCAACAGAATTATTTCAGTATATGGGATTTGCCCTTACATACAGGATGCCTTCTGTAAAGGTGTATATAGTTTTACAGTCAGTGTAGCTTATAGATATTTTCTAGATTATTAATAGTGCTTTTTAAACTACCTAACTTATTCCTTTTTTTTAAGAACTTCTTATAAGATTTTTTTTTTCTGAAACAGGAAGAAGGATTACTACATTTACTGTGTAGAGAAGGCACAAACAGACAGTAAGTTTTCACTTCTAAATAACAACCAAAAAATATTTCCACGTGGCAGTATTAGAATCTAAACTGAAATCAGTAATTAGTACTAAGGATGTCTTACTTGAACATTTAGGTTAAATGAAGAGCACTGTCACCTCTCACAGTTGTAAGCTGCAAAAGAAATTTTCAGTAAGTATGCTCTGGTGCATTAGCGCGGTATTAACATGCTTCTGCTTTTGAAGTAAGCAGCGTAGAAAAATAGTGTTAGTCTCACTACTTTGCTAGAAGGCCATCTGACGGCCCTCAGGGTTTAAAATCCATTTTCAGATACAAGTAACAGAATGGCTCTTGCTAATGACAATACATACAGCTTTGTGAGCACCTTGCCAAAAATTCCAGGTAGAGGATGGCAAGTATCAGGGCCAGAACTGACAGATACGGCTGTATCCCTGTACCGTTCTTACTGTGCGTATCTGGTGGATGCATGTCTGTTCTACAGGTGGGTTCCTCTCAGTTTAACAGTTGGTGATAGAAAAAAAAAAATGCAAAACAGGTCTATAAATGTTTTTAGCTGACCTTTTTAAGATTTTCTGGATATAAGTTAACCTAGAGAACACTTCACAAGTAGTTAGTAAGAGGACTTCATATGGAAGAACTGTGCATGTCAAGTGGCTATTAAAGTTGTTTTTCATGTTTTCAAGTTTTCTGAATCCCTGATGCAGAGGGTAAATGTGTTGATGTTGGAGCTTGTGTAGAGGGGAGTGAGCAGATCTGGCATGAATTTGTGTTTGATACAGTCCATTTTTCAGTTTAGTGTTGCTTTTTTCCCCAAAGTCCCAGCAGGTGCTCAGCAGGATCACGCTGAAAGGGCTCAGCTCAGGCTGGGCAAGTGAGCTTTGGGCTGGGGAGATTTGCTGGTCTTCCAGATCTCCAGTACGGCCAGTACAGTGCTAGCAGTGCAGAGGTTTGTTGCACCACCTGGAATTTCAGAACTGCTTTTTGGCTTTGTAATGAAAGCTTGTGTGTGCCTAGGATTTTTTGACGCTATGTTCTCATGCAGCAGCTAGAGCTAGCCATCTCCCTGCAGCAATGAAGAACCAGCTGCCTTTCTGCTAGAACATGCCAAATACCTTTCCTTCAAAATGTTTTTCTTTGCAAGAGCAGGTGATTTGCAGAGATTAAATTTTGTATCGGCATTAAAGATCTTTCTCATTCATGCATAGTCTGCTCAAAATTTCCCTTCATTTCTTACATTGAATTAATTACTTCCTAAATAGTTGCAGGAATGTTCCTGCATGCAAAACTAGGCATTTAGCACCCGGCTCTGTCTCTTTAATGCTTGGAGTAGGGAGGATTCTGTGTCAAGATCATACTACTCTTAACAAGGCTGTTCTGACAGATATGGCCTCCTTGATAGATTTAGGAGTAAGAAGTACACGTTTCCATCTATTTATCTCCATTTTCAAAATATATATGGTAAATATGTGAACATTTATTTTAAAAAGTGCTATTCAAGAATAATGACTGCATAGAAAGAAAACTGGCACCAGTTTCTACCAATGCTGAAACACCCGTGCCACCTCATCACAATCTCTTGCATCCTAAAATAACACAGGTTTCAGCTAGGCAATGTTTATATGTACATCTGGCTTGTATCAGAGGTAAAGGCTTTAGGTAAGTTCACATTCTTAACCTTTCCTTGTATCTTTGGAAATATTGTGGCTAGTTGTTTGAAGAAAGGAACTGAATTTCAGCATGGGAAATGCTTTCAGCTTAGCTGTAATAGTGGAGTTCCTGTAAGCTCCTCCTTGTGCCTCTGTCCTTCAGCAGGGCTTCTCTGTGTTTTGCTTTCAGAACTGTGGGCCGTCCGCAGAGCATTGTGGCATGCCCCCATGACAAATGGTTTCAGGTTTCCTTGGGTTTGGGTCACAAAGTAATTGATGACATCCTGAAGACTTGCAAGTGACACCTGTTTCACAGAAAAACAAAACAAACAAATAGAAAACACCAAACAAAACATACTGCATGCGTTAGAGAGAGAATACATTTTGAAAACATGCTGGTAGGCTGGTGTGCCTAGCAATGTTCTCTGAACGACTGGTACTGGATTTGCATCTAGCATTTCGATGCAGTGAAATCTACGTCTACGTCTAGGACAGCTCCCTGCAACATATGGTAATGTTTTTATCATCGAATTACAGAATGATTTGGGTTGGAAGGGACCTTAAAGATGATCCAATTCCACTCCCCTGCCATGGGCAGGGACAGCTCCCACCAGACCAGGTTACCCAAAGCCCCATCCAGCCTGGCCTTGGGCACCTGCAGGGAAGGGACATCCACAGCTTCTCTGGGCAGCCTGTGCCAGGGCCTCAGCACCCTCACAGTAAAGAAATTTTTCCTTATATCTACTATAAATCTACCTTTTTTTAGTTACGCTCCCTGACAAATGGTAAGGTCTCCCTGGAGCCTTCTCCAGGCTGATCCTCAAACATACAACTCCTTCCCTTCTAAAAATGAGTAACAAACCAAAAAAGGTTTAGCTCTGTGCACTTTGATGCTTTTCAATGACTGCTGGTGCTCTTTCAGCAGGTAGTTTAGCAGCAAATGCTTTTTCAAATGGTTAGGATGTTTCTCAGGCCACTGGTTAAACAACTCTTAAGGAAAGTGGAAAAAATACTTAAAACCGAGTAATAAGGTCCATATGCACTTGATTGCACCTCAACTAAGTTAATTTTATTTCTCAGAGTTATGTGAAATGCACTTTGAACTTCCTCTAGCTGCAATAAGAGCTCACTTCTCAGACTTATTACTGAAGGCTGAATTACGGGGAAAAAGAAAAAGCAATCTTGAGTGTTTTGTGGTTGCTGGTGGTTTGATTATATTTTCAGTAGAAGAGAAGAGGTTGTGGGTACTTTTTCCTCTTCTAATTTTAGTTTTTTTTTTTCTGTAGATTGGTTAGCCTAATAGAGGCAAAAGACTAAAGAAAGACAAGATGGGCTAAGGAGAGGTAAAATAGATACTTTCTCACAAATTATAGTTAGGAATTTACTGTAGCTTTTCTAACTTTCTATAAAGCAATATTTCTCACACCTTCTTAAGAATCTCTAAAAAGGGAATTGCTCACTTACCTTTCTTTCCAATTCAATAATGTAACTTGTTTCTTTAGACATCACTCTGTAGTGTTTTATGCATGGGACACTGAAAGGAAAGGAAATGACAGTTGATAAGCTGTTAGAAATGAAATAACTTATGATGTACCATTGCTGTCATGAATTCCTCTGCAGGAGCAATGGATGTGTTCTGTAATATCCCCAGAGCCTATTGAAGGTGTGTGGCAAGATGTGTTTTTTCTTATCATAATTTAGGAACACTGGGAATTGCAAATGTTGTTTCCTGGTGTCTCAGGTGACTCTTGTTCTGAAACTCTGCAAAGCTAAAATGGGGGCAATTCAGTTAAATTGTGGTGTGTTTCTAGTCCAAGTTACTGTTTGAAAATATTTCTTTCATTTTTCTTCATTTTACAAAGGGATACGGCCTGTTCCATTTTCATTCTGCACGAAGATTTCTTATGAGTTGGGTTTCATGGCTGGACAGCACCTGGGAAAGTGTTTTCCCAAGGACACTGGCTTTTGTTGGTGGATCTCTATTGCTTCTTTGTTTAATCTAACTGGCTTTGGGGGAGGAGAGAACTGGCAAGTTGGTCTCAGGCCCATGCCCTTCTTGCCCTGTTTGCCCTGTTCAGAATAGTCTGAAGGTGAGGAATATGCTTCACATGTCAACTTTGGGTATTATTAATTCAGCTTTTAATACAGTATGTACTAGTTGTGAAATATAGACTCAACCTACTTTGGCCCATGTCGGACAGTGATTGCATAGTTCTTGCTGTCGCTGCCAGGACGCAGGATCAAATTCCCACAGGAAGGATTCTTTTCCAACATCTCTATCGCTTCTTTCCGAGATACTGCATAGAAGCAGCTGCACAGATGGGAGGGAAGAAACGGCGTGAACGCAAGTTACACAAGTAAGGCTGTGTCATTCCAAGCTGTGCAAAGAGATGTGGTCTACCAGGCTGATGCTTCTTAACAGTGCTAGGCTCATCCGAGGTAATTAGCCATGACTGTCAAGGGGCATGACATCTGAAGGACTCCTGATGAATAATGCTATTACAGGAGCATAATTCAGGACAGCAATGCTCTGCCCTTCTCATAGAGAAAGTGGCACGTTTGTTCAGATAGATTGCTTTATGAACCCTTGCAAAAAAAAATGTGAGAAGAGCAACGTGGAATTACTTTGAAGGGTAATCAACATGTTCTCAGAAGGGCAGATTTACCAGTCTAACGTGGTTTTCTAAAAGGTTTATCAAGCGTAGCAATACACTACACTCAACCTTTGCAAAACAAAAGGCAGTATGGAAAAGCTGCAGGAGTAATCTTTCCCTTAAAAAATCTCTGAAAGGCTTTGAGGTAGATCTTGTTCATTTAATATTTTAAACCCCCTGTATAACAGTTGAATTTCAAACCTCTGTATGAAAACAATACTTGAAAAGAAGGGAAGGCTCCCTAGTCAGGTTGGGGTTTGCATACTTCTGTCAGAGCTTACGCTGGCATAGCAGTGGCTGTACTGCTGTTGTCCTTGCTGGGAAGGCTTTCGTGAAGGCTTTCTTTATTCAAGGACGCATTGGAATGGTCATCAAGCGTGATCCTTCTTTTCTTTTCTTTCTCTAGCACTTCGTGCATTCTCGTAAGTTGTTCAGGTAGCAATAACTCATCCGGTGGAACTGACAACTAAAAAGGAACAGCATAGTTAGAAATGAAAAGACTGGAGAAATGTGAGCAACTGTTTCTGTGCCATCACAGCAATCTCCAGAATGCAGCTGGCATGCAGAGCTCTTTCTTACCTGCTCAGTTTAAGCAAGTGTGATAATCTGGATGGTCTGGGTATGCTGCTTTGAATAAGACACTGCACACCTGTTTATGTTAAAATAGTGGGGCAAATACATCTGCATCGTGATTTACCAGATTAAAGTGGGAACAGTGTGAGCAACTGCAAAGTATCAGGGATTCCATACTGCAAAAGGCTACATAAATGCAACTTAATCTACTTCAGCTCAGTTCATCTTTTTGAGTGGTTCAGCTACACCAACAGAAAGTTATCTACGAAGAAACTTCCTTTATTTTCTACTGGTCATTATTAAAGAATATCTCGCTCTTTTCAAAGTGCGTTTAACTAAGATGTTTCATACAAGTAAGAATGAATATACATAAAATGATTATAGCACAGTTATTCCACAGTATTAGCAATCTTTTCTTAAACATGTAGATGACACCTAGGACTCCCCATGCATTAAGAAAGGGGAGAAAAGTGGTTTTGGCTATCTAAAGAGACAGAGAAATAAAGCCAGAGATAAAATGATCGAAATTAGTTACTTTGATTTTCAAACTATTACAGCTGGCAAAGTGCTGTGAGTTTTGACTGCTAGACCAATAAAAGGAGCCCCTGCTAGCTGTTCAGAATAATAGGGAAACATCAGATATGGTTCTCTCTTCCTAAGTGCCACATGAAAGCAGGGGAGGAGATTAAGACTTTTTTTCCCCAGTAGAATAAAACACAGAGCTCAAGGGGTTCTCTCAGGTGTGCAGTTGAGCCATTTCTTCATTTATTTCTTCCTCAAATGTTAAATAACTAAAGAAGTTGTTTCTCTCAGAGCAGGCTCCCTTTTTCACAGGTGCAGGAGATGGTCTTATGCTAGAAGTCTTTCCTCCCCAGACAGCAAACAGTGCATTGGGAGCTGTGTCTGATTAAATACCATGGCAGGTGAGCTGGGGTGAAATCAGTCTGAATTTTGCTCTCTTTGGGGGATGAGCAGGCAGGTTAGTGTGTGCAAGCACATTAGAAGCAAAGCTTTATGCCTGTGGAAGACAACTTGTTGCATGCACAAAGACCCCTCATACACACTTTGGACATCGAGAAAAAAAACCCTTCTATACCTTTGCCACGGTGAGAATAAAACCCTTCCATTCTTTTCCATATTCACAGTTATCAGCCTGAGGGAACAGAGAGCAACAGCGTAAGAACAACTGCAGCAAACAAAGTGCAATAATTTCATGTTCATATAACTTTCATCCCTTTAGAAGTGCCTTGCCTGGAAATGAGCCTCCTGCCAAGCTACGTCAGTCACACCCTGAAGCATTGCACTTCCCCAGTTGCTCCAAGTTCAATTAGTGAGAGAGGATGGAGGTGGGGAGGAAATAAATCATGGGTTCTGTTGGAGTAAAAGGAGTAAGGTGTGTGGATCTAAATGGAAGGCCAAGCTAAGGAGGTAGGTGAGTCTCAACTGCAAATCCTTCAAGGTAGTCCCTGAGCTCTATAGTCTCTAGTATGGCTTTTTGATATTTTATTGCCCTTCTTGGTTTTACAGATGGCCTGAGCCTTTCAGGGGGATACTTCCGGACTTCTTTTGTGTATTTATTTTTTTTTTAGGTTCAATTCTTTGTTCACTTTATATTCTCAGATACTCCAGAGAAAACTGCCTAATGTCTTGAGGGGAAGTTTCCCTGGTGTTAAGTTCCTATGCACTGCTTCCCTCTTCGGCTGCCTTTTGGTGCCTGGCCACACCAAAGAAGGTAGCTCTACTCTCATGTCAGAGTGGAGCTCTGAATGTCTGTGACAGATGGGGTAACGCCCCAAGCAGCTTACAAATCATAACTTTCATTATTCTTACCTTCACTTCTAGTTCCTCATTTGACAATGTCAGGATGAACTGTGAAGAGTCGTTTTCATTTGGATAAATATTGGTTGCTGAGGTCAAAGCTGATATATCTAGCTTCTGTGAGTACTAAGGAAGCAAGAAAAGAAATAGCAGAAGTTGTAATTTTCACCCCAAATTTTCAGCCCAGATCTAGCTGCTCTTTGAAAAAATTTGTTTAGAAGAAAATGCATGGAAACTTTTTTTCTAGATCTTGGATTAAATTTCACTGACAGACATTTCAAAGCTCGGTCCCTTGTTTCTGCTTACAAAAGCTCTTTGCACCCACAACATGCCTTCTGGATTTTTCCCATCTTAGTCTTCATAAGTAACATTATGGAGCAATTCGAATACATTTGTAGCTTAGGTGCCAAAAAAATAATTCATTTTTGCTTTAATTAGGTGGATTAAAATGCTGTTGTTTGTTTCTCTTTTTTTTTCAGTCTTTCTGTTACAACTTTGAGTACTGTTTTCTGGACTGTGCAGGTGGGAGAGGGGAAAGGGCACAGAGAGGTGTCTTGGGTACATAGGGATTACTTCTTGAAAATAACCGATGCGGTTCACACAACGTGCAGTTACAAAGATAGCACACTACTCACTGTTGGTGCTTTCTTATCATCATAAAAGAAGAGCACAGTTCCTCTCAGTTCTGTCCAATACGCTCTAAATTCCTGTTACAAAGGAGGAAGTGTCAGTTTGTCAAGACAATCTTTTAGTTTTCACACAATGCTGAAAGTAAAAGAACTGCTGAGAAAAAATGTCACGTACTTTTAAACAGGTGTTTTAAAGATCATGTATGTATTTATTTTTGAAGTATTTTATGAGGGAAAAAAAAGTTATTTTTGATAGGTAGAAACAGAAAAAAGCTCTAGGCTTTTTTCTCTACTATCCTAATTTGGCATTGAATTAGAAAGCTTTCATTTTAATTAAATTAAATGTTTTTAGCATTTGTCAGGGGACTTAAAAGGGGTAAGGAATGGAAAAAAAAATGTATTTCCTTGAAGTGTCTATCTGCATATAATTTTGATCATGCCAGTTTACTTGCTATAGGGGCAGGATCGTGGATCTTGAGAGCAGTCTGACCTATTAACCGGACTTCCTGTATTCAAAGTGGCATTTTGCATGCTTTGTCTTTTAAGTTACATTGTGCTCATAGACCAACATCATGCCCAAGTAAGTATGACTGTCTGACTCTTCTTACTGTTCCCTAGTACAGTCATACCCAAGTAATGGGAAAGCCTTCTGTACATTTCTCCATCTTCTTGCGACCCTCATACCCCAAGAAGTGCAGCTGTTATGGGATGTGGAACTGGGAACGCAAACCTGTAACACAGAAGTTCTGTTCTAGTTTTCGGTTTCCTTACTTATTTTATGTTTGTGTTTATTTTGTTTTGTTGGGGGATTTTCTTTGACACAAAGTTAGACATATTCACAAAAATGGAGAAAGAAGGAACTACTGAAGTCTACTAGGTCTCTAGGAACTAAAGTGAACAATTTTTTTCCTTAAGTATCCTGCTGGCAGTCCTTGCTCCCTGTCCTGCTAGCTTCTAACTAGTCATTCTGGTGTTTTCTGACAAACTGCTGGTGTAAGATTCTCTACCATGTTTAGCCTCTGGACCCCAACCTCTGAGCGCTGCTGTGTGCTATTAAGGTGTAAATGCCCTTTTTAAACCCTCTGTCCCTAGCAAATTAATGAAGCCTGTGAATGCTCACTTGGTGTGGGGCTGGATGTTACAGGAAGGTTTTGAACCACACTTTATAATGTAGGCTTTCTGCTCTATGGAGATATAGTAGTAGTTGCCCAGTAGCATTTGTAATTGTTTCACAGCCTTTAATATATTTATTCTTGAGTGTCTGGTTTCTCATTAATGATAATACGACTTGCCCAGCCCACGTAAATCTCTTCAGATTGGTGTGTATTATTGTTGTGCCCTAGTTACAACAAGGCAAAGCGTTGAATAATTTCTAGTGCTGCAGAAAAATTAACAGCAAGATTATTAGTCTACTTTTGTTTCTTTGTTTTTGTTCCTGTTTTCCGTGGTACCTGTTTGTTCCTGTGTTTGTGAACCACAGTGCTATTTTGGTCTCCTGATTATATCTACCTCTAGCACAGCATAACTCATATTTCTTTTCTACTTTCTGCATCTGCACCTACAGAGATTTGAGTGTAGGTATGGTTAGGGTAAAAATCGCTTTGTAACACTAAGTATAGGGATTGTCATTATCAAGTGCTAAAAAAGGGTGATCAGCTTAATATAGGGTCATGCTCTGAACATACACGATAGTAATAGTACAGATAAAAGCATTCCGGCATTTATATGTTTGTGTCTTTTTAATAATAAAATCCTGTGATAAAATAAAAAAACAAAAAAAAAAAACACTCTTTTGTTTCCAAGCTAGTCTACCTATGTGAAATCATCAGCTCATACCAACAAGAGAAAACAATGCTGTGTAGCTCATATATACTTCAGGTGGTGTGTCCCTGAAGATTTCAGAATGCATTCAGTAAATAGATCAGTGCATTGGAGCAATATAACATGTCATGGTGTTAAAAATATTGCATTAGCTTTTCACTGTGCTGGTAGCTATGAAATCAGGTCAAAATCAATCCAAGTTTCAACAGGTATATGATTATAATATTATAATTATGGTTGTTATAATGGGATCCTAGAGATATTGATGGTTACCTTACATAATTTATTTTCCTTTTTTTTTCCCGAGTAATATGAACAGAAACAAACAAAAGCACAAATTAAGCTGCTATCACTATTTCAGTGCACCTATTTGCATCAGCCAGCACCGAGAAACATTTGCCACCACCATCATCAACAGATACGCAGCGATAATATTTTGAGGAAATATTTAAACATATCTGCTCTCTGGGACCATGCACCTTACCTGGGATTTCACGTGCCGGACTGACAGGTAACCTTGGAAGTACAGCTGGCAGACCCGTGATCCTCTGTCTCTCCTGGGAGATTCGCCGGGGAGCTGGCTGAGGAGTTTGTACAGGCTTCTCCATGCTTCTTCTCAGTATCTTGTGGTTATCAGATGTGCTGGTGGTAGTTGTTTGTTTATTTTTTTTCTTGTTGCCTCCCCACGCCTGTTGTTCTCCCCTGCTCTTCGTCAGCCAGAGAGCTCATACTGGTGACGGGGGCAAAGAAAGCAGCGCCTCTAAGAGGAAGTCTCAGTGCTTGCTTTTAGGTCAGCAGATGCCCTGCTTGGTGTGCAATCGTCGGGGGAACCAGATCGAGTGGATTAAAACGGACCTTTTTTAGTGAGCTGTACAAGACTGTGCTGCTCAGTTTGCCCAAGGGTAAGTGTTCAGAGGATGAGCACACTGGTACAAAATTGCATTGTTACTGTGAGGGATGTCACCAGGATGTGGTGGCAGAACAGCCTGATTTTTATGACTTGTCATCAGCTACATGCAGGCTGGGAAAGCTGTGCTTTTAGATCCTTTCCAAGTGTTATTTATTTTTTTCTCTGTGAAAATGGGTTTTAATGTTGAGGCTATCAAATTAGAGTTGGAATTTCTGTAGGAAATGGGATGCCAAAAGTGATATTGGAAATAAACCTGCTTACACTTGTGTGTAGCTGGCAAGGATAAATCAACTTTCTAACGTGCACATAGGAGAAGGTTTTTCTTTGTGAAACAGCTGATAATACGGAAGTCTTTAAACACAGTGTGAAGGGAGATGGTAGTTCAGGAGTGAAACGTTGGTAAATTAGGGGTGAACTTTCCATCAATTTCCCAGAGCTGTGATGTTTAACTTTGTTTCTGGCCTTCCTGCAGGGTTCAGAACAAATAGGGATGGCAGGACTCGGCGTTTTGGTGTTTGCTGCTGCCAAAACCGAGGCAAGCAAACACCAAATCCATGTTTTGTTTTTTTGGTGGGCTACTTTGTGCTTTGTGACCTTTTTTTGTTCCTCAGCTGCATATATGTGTAAGATGAGTATGTAATCATCCCGTAAGGTGAGCTATGGTGGATCGTACAGCTGCTGACCAGCTATAGCAGAAGACGGGGGTCTGAAAGTAGTTGTGTGATTTCTGAGTCTTAAAGTAACTGTATGATTTCTAAGTGTGGCAGGGGACAGGTCCATGTTCTCAGGTTTTGGCTAGAAGTTGGCAGATTTGTCCACTTGTGCTTTGTTGGCAGAACTTGACTTTGCCATTGCGTGATGCAGAAAAACCGCTGGAAAAGGGTTACCTGCGCCTTCCCTGGGGAAGGCTGACACAGCAAGGCAGCGCTCAGCCAGCCGTTCACTAATGTGTGGTAAAAACCATCACGTTAAATCCCAGGAGTTGGGCTCGGTGACCCTGACGGGTCCCTTCCACCCGGGGGTACCCCATGGCACAGCTTGGGGCTGGCCATTAAACTCCACACAGCGCCTCAGGGGCGGCCGCTCCCTCCCCTCAGTGCCTGGCGGCTGCTGCTGCGCATGCGCCGTGAGGGCGCTGAGGGCGGTGCTTCCCGCCAAGCAACGGCCGCGCGGCCGCCGACCAATGGCGTGAGGCGGTTGCGGGGGGGGGTGCGCGCGCTGCCGAGGTTTGAAAGCGGCGGCGCTGAGGGGAGGGCAGGGGGAGGGGTGGCGGCGGCGGCCGGCGGCGGGGCTCGGGGGCCGCCATCTGCGGGGTGGCGGCGCCGCGGGATGGCGGAGGGCTTGGTGAGGCTTGTGGGGAGCCGAGGGAACCGGGGGAGGGAATGGGGGGACGAGGGGGGTCGGTCCGTAGCGGCGGGGCGGCCGGCGGCGTCGCCTGACGGGGCTGCTGAGGGGGGGGGGGGGGGGGCGGGCCGCCACAGCTGCCTCCTGTCAGGCGCCCGCCGGCTATGAGGTGTTGGTCGCGAGGAAGGCGTTAAAGCTCGTTAAAAGCTCAAAACTTTGAAAACTTAGTAGCCGCTGCCGGCATCTGTGCCATTTATAACATGTGAAGGGATCATAACTGCTGTTTCCGTTAAACATTTAAACGGTTTTTGAAGCGTTTTGTTGGTGAGAAGCTGCGCTCTGCTCACTGCATCTTCCCGTTTACTTCTTCGTAGTAAACCCTACAAATGAAGTAGGGTTTACTTCATTTGTTGCCTGTCACCTGAATTATTGCTGCGGTAAGAGATGGCTAGAGTCTTGCCTGCTGTTCAGATGACTTTGTTTACACGAGTTGCAGGCGAATCAAGTCTTCCGGGACTCGTTTACGTGAGAAACAGGAGGCTGGTCATCCGCTTGTTAGCAGCGTGCTTAGTAAAAGCTGATTCTTATTTCTTAACAGGCTCATTTCAAAAAAGACTACAGAACAAGATTCTGCCATGGAGGAGGGTAATTTCCACTTACAGATTTAATCTTAGATACAATAGTTTGGGAAAGTTATGCTGATTTATTTGTATGAGCTTAATGGCAAAACTCTTGGGTGCATCTTAAGCTGATTACATGATATTTCTCAACCTTTCTGTATTTCTCAGTGGTGGGAGGGGTAAATTGTGCTGGGGGACAAAGCAGAAAGGATTTCCTCAGTATTCTTCTGCTGAAGTGACAGACTGTGGTGTGGATAAACCTAAGCTACTCCTAACTAGACTACGTGAGTGCAGCAATAGCAGTCTGTGCCTTTCAGGAGGCAGAGAAATGAAGCCCACCGAGGATTCCAGCTTTAGTTGTTTGGTCCTTGCTGTGAAATGTGGAAGAGGAGTGAGTATTTGTAGTGCTGCAGTCTTTAAAGGCATGCCAGAAGTCAGCAAGCTTTTTGTTACTGGAGTCAATTTTAGACACGTGTTTCACGAGCTTACCAAATGTGCCAAATTACGTGTTTTTACAGGCTTTTAATGATTATGGGAAAAATGGTCCATGGTGTTTTTCATTTTATTTTGGTTTTGATCAGTGTGGGCCAGCTGTTGGATTACATCCCCCCTTTTAATTTTGATGGGAGGATATGGAATGGTATTCCAAGCAGCTGAGTTGTTCGCTTGCCTACAATTTTGATGCCACAAGCCAGTTCCTACTTACAAAGCTTTTGTAGCAGCGTGGAGTAACTGCAGATAAGTGGTAGGAAGAAAAGCAAAGGGTGGCTTGTTGTCTGAAGGGGTAGATGTACAACTACACGTTTCATTTTCTGGGTCTGCTGAGGCTGAATCACCGTGCAGGCAATACTACTTCAGGGCTGATTTTTAAAGTTTATTTATTTCACGCCAGAATCTTTATTCATTTCAAAGTTATTTTACCTGAGGATTGTTGTAATACTTGTATGTTTTCTTCTGTGGAGAGAGATGTCCTCATTCCTACCATGTTTCGTGACAGCAGGGCTTTTTTTCTGGAATCCTCATAGAGACAAGTTTCTTTGCTGTTATCTGCATATGGGAACAGATGAGATTTATTAAAGTTGGGACTAGTGGAAATAATAGCATAAAATATTAAGTAGCAATAACTCAAGTGTTTGATGCATGTACTTTCATATTGCTAGGGTAAGGATATTTAGTATTTATTTATTTATTTATTTATTTATTCCCTCTTTCTAGAAAGAAGATTGATATACAGCCAGGTCAAAATGTATTGAAATTCATTCAGGATTGTTTTGAAAGTAAGGTTTTATTTGATGTTTTGCTTGATTTGCTGATTAAAGAATAATTTATTTTTCATATCATATTTAGTGGTAAATTAATAGAAATAAAATGGTTAAAATAAAGTTTTCGTCAATCTTTAACGGTGCTCCCTTTGCAGCCCTTTAAACCTGTATAAGTTGTGTTATAATGTTTTTCCTGAGTAGCTGGTTTCTTTCTTGTTTGCATTTGCTTGAATGTAAGAAGCCTTAGTAACTTGTTAAGATCAGTGTGATTCCAAGTATCCCCTATTTATAGCTTTTTCTTTATAGGCTGTGATAATGAACTTACAATAAGCTCTCCATGCACAGCCTATTGCTCAACTCCTGTTGGCAGAAACCAAACGAGGACTTCAATACAGACCCAAAGGGTAAGTTAGCTATGGACATATCACTGTGTAGCTTTGGGTATGCGTTTGGATCAATAAAATAGTTAAATTTCTTGTATTCTTAGGTTGAAGCACTTTACTTTATAACTGATGGTGGGTATGGTTGTCTTGGACTGTACTGGAGTTGGTTTCAGTAACTTTACCAGATGGATAGACTTAGCTCTTTGCTGTCAGGTGGACAGTAAAACTGAAAGGCTATCTTGTATAAAAGGAACTTTTAGTTCTTAGAAAAGCCAGCTCCTGATAAACAGTTATTATGTGTAAAATAACTTTCTGACATTGGGGAAGAGTGGAAACAAATCAACGAAGTTACTATTGTCTGAAAGAATGATGCAAATCTGGTTTGTCTGCAGCCCATTCTGTCTCGTTTCAATACTTGGATTCTAGTGTTTTTTGTAAAAATCAGATATTCTGTTAATAGTGTTAAAACCAGTCTTTATAATGGCATTTGTTTACTTCAGTCTGATGTTAGTATGCTGTATAATCTCAAATGAAATTGTGCAAAACTTCAGCCTGATGCAATAAAGGTGAATTAAACTGTTTAAATTAGTACTACTGGAAAGAATAAATACCTTGCCTGTGGGCTGGCAGGATGTCTGTTCAAAGCTGCAAATTTATTATTTTTTTTTTGTTATACCTGTGTGAAATTTACAGTTAGTCTTAGAAAGTCTTACATAATAGAAAACTGAAGTGTTCAATTAGAACTGTGCTTTAAATGAGTAAGAATTAAGGGAAGAAAATTGTTTTCTGTAGAAATGTATATTCTTGTCAAAATACCATTGCTTTGTCAAACGTTTTCCTTTTGCTGGTCTCGTTATTCTCCACTGAATCTAGCAGTCAGATGCAGGGTTAACGAACTCTGTGAAGAGAACCAGTACTACTTCAGCATCCGTACCCGCCTCACCACCAGATACTGTCAGTAGCCAAGGTCAGTAGCACTATTATTAATTTAAGGTTTTGGGGTAACTCTTGGTATAAGCTTTTGAGTAGAAGAACTAAACTATTTAGTATACATGGCAGGAGGGCCGCACAAATCCTACCTGACGCCTACAGTACACGGTTATGCAGCTGATTCTAAGAAAACAGAAAGCCCTTTGCCTGAAGGAGGGCCTTGTGACACATTAAAAGATGCCGAAGCACTATGCAAAAGCCCTGCTGAGTTCGTGGATCCTGAGGATGATAATGGGGCTTTGGGATCACCTCTCCTCGTGGA